GAGGGAGCCATCAGGGAAGAGTCCGGCATTTGATGGTGAAGAATTGGCCAGCGTCTCAGTCGCTGACATAGAGTCTTAGTTTCCATGTCTTTCTTCTTCCCATTGGTCAGTTCACCAGGCGAGAGGCATGAGGAGGACGGGGTTACAGTGCCTCTTTCCTGTGACTTTGATGGCGGTTGGAGTGCTCAACACCACCTGGTTGGGTCCATCCCATCTAGGCCGTGGCATTTCACCCAGATGAGTTCACCCAGAGAGAAGGCAGGCTGTGTTGGACTGGATTTCAGCATGTCCTCCTCCCGTATGGCTCTCACCACCCGTTGTGTTGACATGGCGCTGCTCTGCAAAACCTGTAAGGACTTAAGCAAATTTTGGGTAGACAGCCGGGAAATTTTTTCCTCCCTTAGGTGGGAAAGAAGAGGTGGCAGCCTGCCAAACATAATTTTAAAAGGGGTGAGTCCTTTTATATACAGAGTACACCTAACTCTGAGGAGGGCAAAAGGAAGGAGACTTACCCAGTTTTCGCTAGTTTCTAATTTTAACTTAGTTAATGTTTTCTTTAAGGTCTGATTTATTCTCTTTACCTTCTCCAGAACTCTGTGGTCTATAAACACAATGCAATTTCCAAGTAACTCTCAGGGCCTTAACTGTGGATTGTAACTTTGGCGATAAACGCCGGGCCATCGTCGGACCCCATATATAGTGGCAGGCTAAACCGGGGGACAATTTCAGTGAGGAGTTTTCTAACTACTACCTGTGCTGTCTCTGCCTTGGTTGGGTATGCCTCAGGCCAGCCAGAGAAGGTATCAATGAAAACCAGCAGGTACTTATACCCTCCTTGTCCTCCTGGTATCTCGGTGAAGTCCACTTCCCAGTGTTCCCCGGGGTTTTGTCCTCAGAATCGCTGCTGCCCCGGCGCGGCCACAACAGGGGGCCCTTGGTTTACCGGGCACACACTTGGCACCTTCTAGCCACATCTTGGGATATCTTCTGGAGCCCTGTGATGTAAAATTCTCTTCCCAGTAGTTCTGATAGCTTCATTCCCCCCAGGTGGGTACTCTGGTGGGTCTGGGAAGCGATGGTCCGCCCCAGGGCTTCTGGCACTATAGGCCTCCGTCTGGCAGAATTAGCCATCCAGCCTCTCCTTCCTGGGTCCA